ACACACACACACACACACACACACACACACACACGTGTGTATATGCATACGCCTGCTCTGTGAGAATTATTGTACATCAGCCTTGTGTCTTTTTCCATATCTGTAACAACAGCTTGCACAAGCAACAAATGTACAGTAGCACAGCCATAGGCTGTATTGGTTATGATAAAAAAAAAAAAAAAAAAAGAGACTTCAATCAAATTTAAAGTTAAAGCAAAGTTAAATTAGATGTCGTATCGAAATGACAAGGAGCCTGTTATCATTCCTGCATCACTGGCTCAGTGTTAGCACTGCCACAGCATTTGTACTGGAGGAAAACAATTATTATCTCCAAATAGGGAGGCACCATCCGTAGAAATTTTAATTAAAAAGACTGGCGTGAGTTTCATCTCAGTGTGACAACTCTATTATTTTACAATTAGAAAACAGTCTCCTAGCAGAACAAATTCAGCTCCAACGCAGTGACTTCCACTGGCAGTTTAAGTGGGCAGGCCCAGCTAATCGTTTTCCTGACCTTGGCATTCTGATATCCAGCTGAAGTAGTGAGGTGAGGCTGAAATTAGAGTAATTATTCAAATGTGGCGTCACTGAGCTTTGTCGCGGGTTTGACTCTTGAGCTTATAAACAGAAGCCCGGCACATATTTTCAGCGTGTTGCCTCGTTACAAAGAGAATAAATCTACAGCGGTTCAGATTGTGTGTGTCCATTGGTCACATTTTAAGAGCACCTGTGTAATTTATTATTTTCACTACACTGAGCACATTTCCCCATGAATCTCTATTTTCCAATTTGCACATCATAAATCGTCTTCGCTGTCCCTACCTTCATCTGGATCGTTCCTGGCCGAGGCCTCCAGGAGCGCCACGCTGGCGGCGAACGACACGTGCCTCTTGGACTCTTGCTGGAGGTTGTTGGCATTGCGACCCTTCTTGTCAGCCTTCCGCTTCTTGTTTTGCATCTCCTTCTCGTACACCGCCCATCTCTTCAGCTGCTGGGTGCGCCGCTTCTGGGCAGTCCGCAGCCTCTCCAGACTGGGCACTTTGTCCAGCTGCTGCAGCTCCTGGATCAGCTCCAGATGGTTGGCCATGGCGCCGGGTCGGAGGGACGGCAGCAGGGGATGTTATGGGTGGAGGGGTGAAGTTTGGGGGAGAAAGTGTGATTCTAGCGAGGGCTGCACCTTCGGCCGTGGTCTCCTCCAATCATCATCATCATCATCGTCGTCCCTAAGCACCAGTAAACATCCTGAGTGAGGAGTGAGAGAGAGAGAGAGAGAGAGACACACTGTTCATAAATATCTCAGAGAGAAACATTTACTACCTGGTACTGCAATAAATACATAAGAAAATAAAATGTGGACGTAGTTTGATGCGGCGTTACACTTCCAGTAAATCCTTTGAAAGATACACCGACAATCAAAAGTGAGTATTGGTCTGATGCACCACCGCAAAGTGCACAGAGATGCATTTTGCATCTCCTAGTTATAGAGACGCGAGTACCACGCAACCAAGCACTGAATAACGGTTTGCTTGTCACATGTTTCCACTCTCTGTCAATTGTAAATGAAATCAGATTTATGTTCTACTGAACACTCTTTGATTCACATCGAGGTGAAACAAAAATGAAAGCAATGTCATTCTCATAATCGCTTCATTTCCTTCCATTCACTGGCATGACACACACTCCATGCAGATGATGCCTTTAAGGGTTCAGGAAAGGGGACACATGTACCTCTATGAAAAAAGGAGGCCAATTCTTCCATTTATATCTAAACGACAGATATGAAATATGAATGAAATGATTAGCATGGGTTGCAGTCTCAATTTTCCATTTGCTTCGTGAGCCGTTGTAGACATCTGTACCAGCCGCCATCAAGGTCAACCACTTCCTGGAAGTTACAAGTAGACGGCAGTCTGATGAGATACTGATAACAAGAAGAAGACAAAAGAAAAACTACTCGGGCAGTGAGCTAAAGCGGGGATTCACGCTAATGTAGCCTTGCTACACATAACATGAACACATGAACTCGCTCTGGTTTTCCTCTCTGACCACTGAACGTTATGCTGCCAGTGAAACAACAAAAAAAACAGCTGACTGTATATTTTTATCTGCCAAGAAAGCAGCACACTGTATGTATACATATCTTTACAAATGATCGTATAGATTTGGAAAAACTAACAACATAACGGGTCAAAAGCAGAAACATGCACATTTAAAATAAACCGTATTGTAGTTAAATAGAGTAAACACAGAATAAATGCAGGTAGAACATCTTCAGGGACTCTATTCAGACCACTTCCTTGAAACAAAACTCTTAACAATGTACGGCCGTTATAAACCCTCTCCTGATAAAAGTCCAGCCCACACAAATACACACATAAATGACACTTTATATGATTTACGTAACTTTAAAAACAAAATATACAGGTGTTATGTATCAAACTTACTATTTCACCGATGCTGATAAATATTTCCTCATGTCTGCAGCCGTTCACTCATGAAACCAGCAGCATCGTCTGATAAAATGCCCCACAATGCAATGTGCTACTACATCAGCCTGCCACCGACCTTATGCTACATTTCCTCTGCACAACTGGTACCCAACTGCTGAAAACATGGACAGGAAACACACAGTATAATCACTTCCTACAGCATCCTACAGTGTGACAAAAGACATCCAAACCCAAATGAAAGTCGGAACTAAACCTTGGCCACTGTTTGAGACCTTTACATGCATTAAACGGCACAAAGTTACTCTCCTGACTTTCCTCTCTCACAGAATTTCACAAGTGGAGATCGAGACTATGAGAGCTTGTGTGAAAAGTAGAAATGACTTTTACACAGCAAACTGGTTTACGGCAAATTATTCGTTAAGACTGGGTCCCGATCCAAAGGTCAACCACAAGAGGATGAGCACAAATCACTGTGGAGGAATTTAAAACTGAAAGCTGTCAGCAATTCTTTCAAAGAAGACATGCGGTGGATGCAGCAGTGTCGAGTCTTCAGTCTCTAGATTGATTTGTCTATTAAAATAAAAGATAAAAGATTTTCTGGTGTGAAAAGCAAATGTGCGGCAGTAGAAGCTGGAAAGAAGTCGGTTTAGTGTTGGTGGTAGTCTGCAATGTGGGTGAATTTCACTTCTTAGCCGGACCATTTAAGATCTTTCTAAAATCTGGTCAATATACAGATATTCATCATTTTGTCCATTTAAAAAATGTCTATCATCAACATAACTTGCTCTACATTTGAGGTCAACATTCACAACATACATTTCTGTTATCTGTTATATTTCTTTGTGTTGGAGATCATTGTGTTCATCAGATCACCTCATGGATGGAGTTATTTGGAATCTAGGCATTTGTCAACATGATTCAATAATCTAAATAAAGGATTGTTTTCATCACAATGAGTGTAAGTAAGTGTAAATCAGAGTGTATCAACACACTTTGGAAAAAAGAATTGCAGAAAGAGAAGATAATATCTAATTTATAAAAACCTAAAATTCAAATAAAAATAAGTTTATTACTTATTCACACAAAGGCTGTAAATAAGAATTCTTCTACAATGGCTTGAATGTAAATATATTGTGAAAGCACTGCTACAGCCATAAATACTGAGGTAGTTTGTTCCGTCATCTGCTGCTGACACGATGTTCCTGATGGAGGCACATCTGCTCAAGTAAAGACATGAAGCAGACTCCTCTTCAGCGTGAGCCAGTGCTCAAGCAGGAGGCGCACCATGCTGGGTGAAGAGGATGAGGAAAATAAAAAGAAAAGGTCATGAGCAGCTTTTTAATCTTCGGAGTTTCAAACAAACTGCAATCCTAATTGTTTTGCTCATATTATACTTCACTGTGTATATATATATATATATATATATATATAAATAAAACATTTGCTTAGCTGTGAAGTTTTCATTGCCTTGTTTTATATGTGAAATTAAGGTTCCCTCAGCTGAACTGCAGCCAAAAGAAATGAGCCGCCCTTCTCCGGTTTATAGGAGCCGAGTTCAGAGAAGGAGCTGATGAAATAATAAATGCTCCACACGATCGGACACACACACACACATTCACACAGCGCGCTGGCTGCCAAGTTACAACACAAAAAACAAAGACGGTCGTGGAAAAAACACCCTTTTGATCGTCGTGAAAGGACGCCTCAAACAAAGAGCGCTCTACATCTGTGTCTGTGTAGGTGTCGATGTTGCAATGATGCACTCCAAGGTGTCTTTTATAAGTCGTGCCTTCTTTTGTATACTAAGATACATCAGAGTGTATCTTCACCGAAATACAAATATATGTTGCACAGCAGACCTCGAGGAAAAAGTCAGTTAATAAATAAGAGTGAAGTTAATTTATTCATAACAGCATTAATCCAAATATGACGTAATATTTCCACTGGGATGAAGTGTTTAAGTACATCACAAAAGGAGCCGCAGACAGTGAAGCTGATCCAACGAGCAACTGGTCTAAGAACAACTGCGCTTTAATTCACAACATGCAGAGTTTTACAAGTTAAAAGTTTCCTCTGATGCACAGTGAAGCTTCCGGACACAGCGTACCCCCCCTGTCCCTGTCTCTCTCTGTCTGTCTCTCTCTCTGAGATGCGAGTGCAAAGTGAATTAACTTTAGACAGGATGTGTGACAAACAAGGAACGTCCAGTGTTTTCTTTAGCCGTCTTTGATGGTCAATGACATTAGTGCCGGGAATATGAAACCCAGGAGCTACTGTTGATCAAATCAGGGGAATCAGAGCAGCGGTAATGATATTACTCATAAACACACACACACACACACACACACAGCTAGAGACAGAAAAAGCAGCGAGTGATGAAAACAGACCCAGACAGACTAACAACTTCTGCATTAATCGGCGACTGACAGCACTAATTGTTGGCTGTATGTAAAGCACTTTGAATGTCCTTGTTGTGAAAGGCTGTTACTTTCACAGAGCTCTCACTGCACTGGCTTCATGTAAAGGTATCATACAGCACACAATGAGCAAAGGGAATTATCACGTCAGTATCGGTTTGATTTACACACCGAAATATCAGTGTCCTCCGCCTGTCCAGCTGGTATCCTGATGAGAGAGTCTCTGAGTTGATAAGCTCGCCTTTGCACACGGTGTATGTTACCGAGTGTCAACCGTGATAAACCTAACGAGCAGCACATAGTGGACTTTATGGCTCGTTTGTCGTCTTGTTTTACAGGCTGTGCTACCATGGAGCATGTTGGAGGACGCTAAATGAGCCGCTCATTGGTATGCAGATAGAGCGATATAATGATTCGTCCAATAATCCCTCATGAAAAATGAAACGTTAAGTATTTTGCTAGTCAATTCATTGTTTAAGTGATGCTTTCAAGCACAAATGAAACATGTTTGATGATTTGAGGTTCTCAAACTTGAGAATTAACAGCTTTATTTTGTCTTACAATATAGCAAACTGTGGGTCTGTTTGACAACATCCCCTTGTGCTCCAGGACATTTTTAGTTTTCTGATGTTTTATTGAACAACTAACATACAGTATATAATGAAACAATAGTTAGTTGCAGCTGAAGATGTCAGCGGGTCTTCATGAATGATTTCACTGAACTACACTCGATTTCATTTGATCCAGATGTGTTTCCCAACTTCTTAAACCAAACCAACGCCCTTGATAGTGATAAAGTTGTCATGTATACAGCAGTACGAGTCTAATCTATGAAGTCCTTCTTATTTCAACACTCTGATCAACTACTTGATTTTTACCGATACTCATATAAAATACCAATCTCTGGGTGGAGACGATGCTGCCAAACAAGCATGAATTTATCCGAGAACAGCACAGATTTTTAGACTTAAGTATTTTCCTACCCCCTCTCAAGCACCCGAACGCCACCAAAAACCCACACGAGTGATCAGGACGACTGGGTGCCTGAACAAGCGTGCAGCGGTTTCACTGCTCATCTCACATCGTGCCAGCTCGACCTTTTCTCGTGCATTATTCTGTGGGGGACATTTACAGAGAAGTTTCCATTCCACACACAGACTGTCGGCTCTCTCTCACAGATCATAAACCTTAAGAGTCGCTCACGCTGATCTGTGGTCTTGTTTCTGTAACATTAACAGCAGGTGAGTGAGAAGATGACAGTAGCGCAGCCTTCAGGCATTTATCAAACAGCAGAAGACGGAAGAGAACAAATCGTTTGTTGCCCCCGACGGGAGATCGACTCGCACATTAAGAACTTCAGCAGCGCGTGAAAAGCAGACGATGCAAACACTCCGTGTACTTGACACGAGGCAAAGACAAACTGTTTGAAGATATGTAAAACTCGGGGAGCCGTGGGCAACGGTAAGGCCTCTGGTGATATCACAGCCGGTCCCCGGGGCCAAGGCAGCAAATCACAGATTGACCTCAATCGGCTCCCAGGCTGCAGATAAGAATGTGGCACTGCACTCACACTTTGTGTTTTTACCATTTTTTTGTGTGAGAAAAAAAAAAAAGAAAAAAAAAAGGGAGGCACAGCCGAACGTTTAACGATTTTCAGAACAAGAAGGTCGGGCGATGCACACCTAGCAGCTGTAGCTAAACAACATTTATGCCAATGTGCCAATTACTAGCAGTTCTGCCAGTTTTGTCCGTGTTTTTATTGGAGTTGTTGTTTTCATAAATGGCCAGCTGCCTACGCATCACAAAAGCTCCCACTTTGTTGTGATTACAAGATCACAAAAATGCAAACCACACCACTCACACTCCTGAAGTAAATATGAGTGGTCTGGACTTTAGACAATGCTCTTTCTTTGCCAAAAAAAAGACAACAGACGTCTCTCTGGGGCAGACTTTCCATTTATCTTTCAGACTCAAACTATAACTGCAGCTGATCCGTCAGAGCAGAACATGTAAGCAATAAAAAGACACACAATATGCTAGAAAAACCACCCCCATTGTTCAAGTTAAACATCTTAACAATGCATTATCACAAGCTTGGAGCTTTGAGTAGTGTATCTCACCGACAGAGAACGAGGCGGTCTGAACATTTCGCCTGTCGTGGCCGCCTGACGGTCCAGTACAAAGCCTCTGTCACTGAGCATTCAGGTCCATTATCTCCTTTTCATCACCGACGGCTATAACGCAGCTGTGTGCGTTCATGAGTTTCCACACTTATGAGAGCCAAACGTCCTCTCAAGGACAGAAACCAGAACTCTAAATTATGGACGTTTTAAGAGCCCTCGCTTGATAAAAAAGAGAGACGTTTTAAAATTAGAGGTATATGAAAAGGGGCTTAAAAAAAAGGAAATGAATCAGATAATGAATGCCTCCAGTGAAGGCACAAAAATTATAGCATCACAAAAGTGTGTGTGTGCGTGTCCAGCAGTGCTGACATCAGCTTTAATTCACTAATATCTCCACAAACCAGCTGGATTGAGGTCATCCTGGCCCCTCCATCATCCTTATGAAGGTGATTTGGCAATGGACGTACAGTATAGCTAATGGCAGCACAGTACAGCTCATAATACACCACAGGCAGGATTTCATCTAAACCTCGTATTAGTATCAACTATCCAGCTAGAATATTTCATGTTTAGGATACTTTCTCTTCTTCTCTTCCCGCCTCATCATGCTGCATATGTACATGTTTGTCAGCAGCATGGACAAATGTGGAAAACTACTCAGACTCTATGAACCATGGAATCAGATCATTTGACCGACTTCTTTCCTAAAAACAACTTGGGTTGCTCTTCTGTAGAGTTGGTTGTGGTATCAAAGCAAACCTGCTGTTACCACCAGGAACCACAGGTGTCGCCAAATCAACCAGGACCGAAATCTTTGAGAACAAATGACTCAGCAGCTCAGTCACTAAAAAAAAAAAAAACTGCAAAGTATCAGTACTAAGAAAAGAGTGTCAACGGTGTCAAAAATGGTCACTCAACCGACGACCCATGCTGGAGCTACCGGTCTGTTTTATCTGTAACTACAAGGCTGCACATCCTCCAACAGTAAGAGAGCCCCTCCACCACCCAGTGCACAGGGCAGGCATTGTGAGTTTGGTTCATGAAGAGTTTAACGAGTCAACAGAAAGTTAATTCCCCGTGCATGGAGGCATGCGTTTCTTCAAATCTGCATCTGAATCCATTTGAATTTTTAAGCTAAAGTCGGTCACTTGTGTTTAATGTTTTACTTTGAGTGCCAAGAGAATTGTAGAGAGAATACGTTAAAACTAATTGACTTATAGCTCAGAATGAGGACCGGTGGTCGAACACCAAAAGGCTTTGAAATCTTCCCCCTCATCACCTCCACCTCCTCTCATCACCTTCAAGACAGTTTAATTAAAGGAGACGGTTTTAACATTAGTCCTTCTTATTTAAGGAGAATATGGACGTAAGAATTTAAATGGGAATTCTGCTTAAAATGATGTCATCTGACTACAAAAAGTGACAAAAACAGAATGGTTTTGTTCCAACACTGGCACATCTCCATTCAGTAGCTGGCAGGATTTTATTAATACTTCAAATGGAAACCATGTCTTTTTCCATTCCCTCACTTTCAGCCCATCATGAATGTCTAATGTCTTTAAAAATGCCCCCATAGCCCATTACAGATAACCACAATGGTGTTCTTCTTCAGGTGCTGAACATATCTGACAACCAATTACTTCACCTGTTTTACTTCTGACGAGGACAAAAGACGAGGACAAAAGACGAGGACAAAGAGGTGCGACGTTTCACAGTCGCCCTCTCAGCTGTAACGGGCAGTTATAGGAGCGAGTTGCCAAAATAAGAAGACTCCACCCACTGAGGCCGACCCCG